TGACTCAGCCTTCCATCCTTCCGAGGTGGGTAAAATGAGGACCCAAATTGTTGGGGGCAATAGGCTGACTCTGTAAACCACTTAGAGAGGGCTATAAAAGCACTGTGAAGCAGTATATAAGCCTAAGTGCTATTGCTGTTAGCTCTTGTGTGACCATACACAAGTACAGGTAATCCTGGACTTATGACCATAATGGAACCTGTCCATCATGATTGTCCGAAGCATGCTTTTTCAAAAAAAGCTTTGGGACAACCAGAATCTCCATAGACATTTGTCCATGTTGTCAGGATTCCGGCAGTTACTCCAATTAATTCATGAGCCTCAAGCCACACTCCCAAAACTAAAAAGGTTTCATTTGGAGTTAACATTCTATGTCCGGCATTAACCTGGGTGTAGCCAACTCTGAGATACGTAATTCACTGTCACCCTTGATCCTGCTTTCCCCACCACCCCTCTGGGTGTATCATCCAACGAAAAAACATCCATAGCCAAGAGTCATCAATCATGCTCTCCAATTAGATTTTTGCCCGGCAGAAGCTTCAGTCATCTAATCAGTCTCTGAAGAAAATATGAATGGAATGTACTTTCGATTCCACACTGCTGCCTGCTCTTTCAAACTCCCCCTCTTCTTTCTGTTGCCAACTATAAAATGTGTATACAAAATGTTTTATGAGTTGACACATGTAAAATGGATCAGTCACGTGGTCGACCTGATTTTATGACCTTTTCTGTGGTGGTCATTAAACGAATGCTACAATCGTAAAGCGACCACATGGTCGTTAAGCAAACACCACAGTTGTTAAGCAAGCCAATGGTTTGCTATGGGCACAGTTTGTCAATAACTAGAAGTAAACACCGATTTTAGGCATTCATCAGTCATGTATTGACTATAAATGCAGCCGTATTGCCAAGCGCCTGAAGTTTGGTCATGTGACTTGGGTGGGGGACAATGCCAGGATTTTGAATCTTGGTTGTAAGTAGCCCCAAGTTAGGTTGGTCATAAATCACAGATCGATGTAGCTATCAACTTGGATGTGGACAGATCTGGCATAAAAGCCTCTGAAAAGTAACACCGATTTAAAAGATCCTTCAGAAAAATCTAAAAAAAAAATTCTCCAATCCCACTGATATTTCAAAGTTTGTGCTAAGATTGTCCACTCAGTGGGCAAATTCTACCTATAGTACAATTTGGAAGGACCCACCAAAATAATTCATCTAGGAACAGAACAGGAAAATCTCTATTTTTGTGGATCTCATTGAAAGCCAATGAGAAGGAAACAAGAAAGTTTGAGGTGAGGGAAACAGAAAGGATTTTGGTCTGTGGCCAAAATTGACCAGAAAGGAAAAGTTCAGAGCAATTAATTATGCAGAAAAGCACCACCAAATGACCTATCTACGTTCAGGTCATGATTTAAACAACATTTTAGTCTTTAGCCACCTTAGCAACATGGGAGAGATGAAGGAAAAAAGTGAGATAGCTGAAACTATCAGATTGCTCCATAATTTTCCAATCCCAGATATGGATGTGCAATAGAAATAGATTGAATTGGTGTTTCTCCATCTTGGCAACTTGAAAATGGGTGGAACTACATTCCCAGAATGCTGGCCGGGGGACTCGAGGAACAAATCCGCCCATCTTCAAAATGGATTGGGTGGAAAAAATGTTAGAACGCTACATCATCCAGAGATACGATGAGCATTGTCTTCTGGAGTTAAACATTTCAGACTTACAAAAAGAGACTAGAGCAGTTGAGTTTATTTTTCTTGGTATATAGAGTTATCTTAAGGATGCATTGGCCTGGTACTTACTGACTTACCACATGATGCCAATTTGAGATTGTCCAGAAAGATACCAGCTGTCTTTTTTTCTCTGAAATTAGCATGGACTGGCTTATGTGGAACACAAAAGCTTTACTAGCTGGGAAATTTTGAGAGCTGAAGTCCACATATCTCAAAATTGCCAAGGTTGACAAACACTGCTATAGATACTTAGAACTGAAACCATGGCCTTTTCACATACAGAAACAAGTGCTTTGCCCCTATAGTGCCTTTCCTTAGACATAAGTTTCTAGCCCTCGTGGATAAGAATAAAGAGATTCCAAGTTAGCAGAGATGGCTAAATTGACTGCTTTGATTAAAGAAAAAACAACAACCCACAATTACTTTTCTTTCTACTTGGAAACTGCTTCTAGACTTTGTACTTGAGGTAGAAAAAAATGAAACTTTAATTTTGGGTTTTGCTGATTAAATACATTATAGAAATAGCTAGTTATAGAAATGGCTAGTTATAGAAATGGCTAGTTATAAAAACGGCTAGTTATAGAAATGGCTAGTTTATACTATTATATAAAAGTAAACAAGAAACACTTTTTCTTTCTTTTCCCCCTTTTCTCTACACTTTTCCCTTCCCTTCTCCCTCCCCTATTTTCTTTTGTATTTTTGCATTTTATATAAACTAATTTTAAAAAAAAGAATAAAGAGGCTCCAAGCAAAATGTCTCAGCAGGGGGCAGCACCTTGTTGGACTTGGAAATAAAATCGGGCCAGACATGGTTAGTACTAAATCAGAGATTACTCAGGAGCTGAAGCTAGTGGAGAAACCATCTCATAATAAAGTGATGACAAATCATTATTATGCTAGGAAACCGAATATGGTATTCTTCAAGAAGTCCTTGAAGATTTTTCTTAGACAGGTAATCCTCAGCTTATGACCACAATTAGGACCGGAAAAAATGTGACTAAGCAAAGTGGTCGTTAAGAGAGTCACACCAAAGTTCATATTTTTTTGTTTGCTAAGGTAGTTAAATGAATCTGGCTACCTCATTGATTTGCTTGTCAAAAGCCGGCTAGGAAGGTCACAGATGTCAATCACGTGACTCCGTGATGTCGCAACCTTTGTAAATACATGCCAGTTGCCAAGTGTCCAAATCACAATCACGTGACGACGGGGCTGCTGTGACAGGTGATAAGTCACATTTTCCAACGGCGCCATAATTAAACAAATGGTCATAAGTTTGAGGACTACCTGTCTTTTTCCCTTTATAACAAGAGAGACCTTTGAGTCCTCATGTTCAGTGTTGCTGTTCTCTAGTGTCTCTCAACTTCGACCACTTTAAGATATGTGGACTTCAACTCCCAGAATTCCCTTGGCAGTAGGACTTCAACACATATCCTAAAGTGGCCAAGGTTGAGAAATATTGTTCTAGTAGAGCTGACACTCTACTCTGTAATCTTTTTTTTTCCCGCACATGGAAATGCAAGGATTGAAATGCGTGCATTCTGCACATCGAGACTAGAGCTTTATCCCTCCTCTCCCTTTCGAGAACTGCTTTTGGTCTAGTGGTTAAAGCACCAGGTTAGAAAAATGGGAAACTTCGAGTTCTAATCCTGCCTTAGCTATGAAATCCAGCTGGATGACTTTGGGTGAGTCCCTCTCTCTCAGCCCAATCAACTTCACAGGATTGCTTTTGTGCAGCAGATAGGAGGAGGAAGGGATATGTTCACCAGCTTGAGTTATTTATAAATAATAATGAAAGTGGGATGTAAATATATTAAAATTTTAAAAAATAATATTCCTCCTTCCACAGCATCTCTTCAAATTAAAGGGAATGGGATGGTGACCCCACACTCTGCTAAAACCCATGCACAGAACCATTAAGTTCCCCTGCAGCCCAGCCAGGAAAAACTTTGATGATACCAAAATAATCACTTTTATTAAAAGGCCTGAGCTTTGCCAGGCTGCAGTTCACTTCACCAGATGCGTAGAGAGGCTAGATGGATGGAGGATTTAAACTGGTCAAAATTGGCTACTTCGTTCATCTTGGTGAAGTGAACTGCAGCCGATGGAAGATTAGATCTTTTAATAAAATTGCCAGCAAAGTCTTAATTTTTTGCCACTATGGACTAAGATAGTTCTCCTCTTCCTAAATACCAGTGCTGTAGCTGTTTTCATCTCTGACAAGTTTGAGAATGTGAGAATTGACAGCAAGACAAGAATGATGTCCTTAAAACAGTGCCTTGAAATGAGAGGAAGATGTATGTATGGCCAGGCAATCAGACTTAATACTGTATTATAGTGCAATGTATTTAATTTGATTATTGAATTAGGCATGGCATATTGGGTGAATACAGCCAGATATCTCGCTATTTGGGACATGAAAGGAAAGCGGTGGCAAAAAGTGAAAAAAAAAGTCAACTAAACCGTTTGCTAGTAGAATCTTCTGGATATGCTCTCCAGGCTCTTTAGAAACGTACAAAATCTAGTGCAGACTTACAGAGTAGAAGTGGTGCACACATGAGTATAAATCTGTGCATCACTAAAATATAATTTGAATTCAAATCATGCTAGCCAGGGGATTTTAAGAGTTAAAAGTCCACACATTTTCAAGTTGCCTAGTTGAAAAACACTGGTGTAGCTTATTTTACTGTATATACATTTTGGGGGCGCGATACTCCAGACAATCACTAGTTGGCAGCAGCGAAACAGGGAAAACTAAAGGTCATCTAGATTTTGCAGTCCACAACTGGCAGCATTTAGGTGAAAACAATTATTAATTTTAAAAGCCTGCCAAGAGCTAACCTCTACTCATTCCTAATAAGAAAAAGATATTATATAAAAACTTCTACCCAACTATGCTAGGATTTAAGACAGATTTCTACTCTTCAGTATTTAAAATATAGTTCTAGCCCCTGTCCCTCTATAGTTAAAGCTTTATTTAAAGTCCCTTCAATTTTCACTTACTAGTGAAGTTTTTAAGGGCACCCATGCTTCTTCTGCAGCAAGTCGGAATTACCTAACTGTTCTAATTTTCACCTGATATGGGAATTCTGTCCTCTGCGCATGCTTGTGTGTCCTCTTTTTTTCCTGATCCCCTTCAAGATCCAATAATTTGAAGACATGGGGACAAACAGGGAGTCTTGGGAAGTTCCCGGGTATCCTTGGTGTCCTCAATATTCAGAGGGAGAGAGAAGGAGGGAAATTTCAGTCTCCAAGATTCTTACCTGTGTTAGTGTCTCCTGACGCCAGGTACAGCAAACTTGAAAGCACAAGATAGGTTTTCATGATGCGACACCAAAACAAAACAAAAAACAGAGGAGAAGGAGGAGGAGGAGGAGGAGGAGGAGGAGGAGAAGAAGAAGAAGAAGAAGAAGAAGAAGAAGAAGAAGAAGAAGAAG